CCTCCTCCGGCCGCCCACTGTTCTTGTATAATGTAATTTTTTTATTGTTTTTAGTAAGTGTTTAATAGAATTAGTAAGAAAATTAATAGAACTAGTTGAACTGGTTTATTTTTACTAATAATTAGTTTATTTTTATTTATAGTAAGTGCTTCGTTGAACTAGTAAAATTAATAGAACTAGTTTATTTTTAGAAAGAACTAATTTATTTTTAGTAAGAACTAGTTTATTATTATTTTTAGTAAGTGTTAAGTTGAACTAGTTGAATTAATATAACTAGTTTTTTTAGTAAGAAAATTTAGGTATACGAGATTTGATGATCTAATTAAAATTTTACTATAGAACTAGTTTATTTTTAGTAAGAAAATTAAGTAAAACTAGTTTATTTTTTATGTCATTATCACTTTGTCATCAAAGAATGGTATATGAGATTTGATGATCTGATTAAAATTTTACTTGGTGGAATATGCAGGCTTAGTTATGTCTCCTTGGAGTGATAGTCATCCGAGCTACCTCCACTTCCTCTACACCCGAGTCAGTGAGCTAAAAGTCCACATCCTCCTCCACATTCCTCTACATCCGAACTAGGGTATTTAGTTATGCTTCTTAATCAAATGAAATGTTCGGATTATAAGATATATTGAAATGTTTTTGTCAATATTGAACCATTGAAATGCAATGACCACCAGTTTATGCTAATGTGCGAAGTGTTCATTCATTTCCCAGTGACCTATGTTTTGCCGGAGTGTTGATTCATTTCTGTTCCGGCAAATTTTAGGCTCTCGATATGTCCTATTTTAGCAAAGGTCCTGCCGGATTTTTCCGTGAATTTAATCATGACTTGTGCTACAATATGTAGGAAATATTGAGTCCCCCAGATTTGCTAGAAAGAGAGTTAAACGACATTTCAAGTTGACTTTAAGTCTGTCGGGGCTCCATACATGACTGTCCAAAATTCGGTGAGGGAGAGTCTCCACTATATATGAGAGAAGAATGCCGACTGTTGTTGTTGGGGTCGCTTTTCCTTCTTCTCTTTGTGTTAGACCTTTGTTATGCACTAGGGGAAGAAGGATTAGCGACCATCATCGACGGTCGAAAAATCGGTGACGGAGTGTCCACCATATATGAGAGAAGAAGAATGTCGACTGTTGTCGTGGGGTTCGCTTCTCCTTCTTTTCCTTGTGCTAGATATTTGTAATGCACTAGGGAAAGGAGGAGTAGCGACCATCACCAATGGTCGCAATATTAGAGAGGGAGTGCCCACCATATACGTGAGATGAGAGTTTAGGAAGGAAGACTCGACAGACCTAAAGTGAACCCGTTGCATATTGAGTAATAGTGATATGTGTGTTGAGTTCCTTGGTAGTTGCCTTCGGTCGATTTTTAATTAATGTTTCAACTATGAACATAGGAAATGTTTGACGATGAAAAGGAATTAGGTATGTGCGAATACTGCGAAGACGAGCGCGGCCTGTGCGACAGGCCTCACCTAGTTGGTGGTTGGCGCTTCAGCATCAAGCTGGATGACACCTTCGAAGTGCATAGAGTAAGTCACAACGTACGACAAGTTTTTTTCGTAATTAAGCATGACTTCTGCTTCTTTTGCTTCAACTTATAATTTAAATTTTTTACTATTTTACTAGCGTATCCCCTCCATGCAAGAATATATGTCTTGGATAAGGTTGGTTTCAATACTATGGAAACTATGGAGATAAAAAAGAGTTAACTTGAGAACCGAGCATGGTTATAGTTTTGCGGCAAAATTATACAATACAGACACCTACACCCATTTTGAATGCAAACAATGAAGAGCACTATGCAAGGCTTATGCATTTGAGCTTGATATGCCTATCACCTTTGATATTCGTCCGGAAGATGATATTGACGATAATATCGACATCTGGGTCGATGTGCAGACGCCTCCAGTTCTACCATTATGTAAGTTTTCTCAACCATATTTATGTCTTGGATATTGTTTATTCAAAAATATTTGACAACTAATTTCTATTGACAGCTTATTTCCATTCAAGCAAACATGTCCAGCGCTTGGTACACAAGACGTATTATTGTCCCGGGGCTGAACTAAACTGCGAGGAGACAAGTCATTATGTTTCATGGCTTGAGGATCTTCATACTGTCAAGACAAATTATTTTCCTGGACTTATAAATCTTAGTACTCAAAACGATGCGACCAATAGTGTTTGTACTGAACTACAGTCACATCTATTTAGGAAAGATGGTAAGATTTTTACTATTTGTCCTTAGTGCATCTTTTGCATACATTATTTTTAAGCTAAACTTCATTGCTAAGTATGTTACTACGATGTTCTTCAATAGGGACTCTCGATGATAGCTGTGCCTCAATGGATCGAAGCTAAAGGTCGCATGTCCATGGTTAGCATACGGCCAAGACTTCCTACATTGCACATGAGTGCATTCAGGATTTCTAGAAGCGAGCAAGTCTTAATAGTCAAAGACTGAAACAAAATTGTAAAGGATCGCAGAGAAGTACTTGGGGGCAGCAATCAGAAGCGCAACCCACAATTAGGAGACATGTTCATCTGCATGCTTCAATATGATGAATCAGGAGCGCTCCACATGTTCTATGCTATTTTACCCGAGAGAGAGCAGTAGGAGTGATTAGCTAGCTAGAATGAGTGTTGGTGGTGATGACTATAATGATTAATATTAGCTAGTGTTGATGGTGATTAGCTATGACTATGATGATTAAATAGTGTTGGTGGTAATAACTATGATGATTATTAGCTAGTGTTATTCGTGATGATATGATGCAAGAGTTTTTATATTAATATTATGATGATGATGATGATGATGATGAGTAAGTTATTATATCATTGGGTGAAAGAACCGCGGATTAGTTTTAAGTGGATGGATCCTAAGTGAAACTAATCCGCGGTTCTTTCACTTAGTGATTTAATAACTCATTATAATGTAAAAACAATCTCTAAATTGCTACTGTATGAAAAATCATATAAAGGTGTATGAATACGACCTAAAATTTAAAAGAAATAGAATACGGAAAAATAGTAGTAGCGCGGGCGGAGAGAAGCGCTACTAGTAATTACCAGTAGCGGTTGTCTGGGAAAGCACTACTACTAAGTAGATATAGCAGTAGCGCGTGCCAGCAGGCGCTACTGGTAAGCTTTAGTTGTAGCGTTGTATCAATAGCGCGGCTACCCGCGCTACTGATAGCCAAAAACCAGCGCTACTGCTAGGCTTTTTCCTAGTAGTGGTCTCGCGAGCGCCAGATCTGGAGCTGGCGTACGTGTGCTCGGTGGTGAGGCTTGGGACTGCAGGAAACCGTTGGTCGGCTTGATCGGCCCAGCGTCAGTGACGCCATTGGCATCGTTCTTCCTCCTTGGAGGTGTAGCCGAGGTCCTCCCCTCTCCACCCTCGTTCTTCCTCCGGGTGAAAGCCAAAAATCCAGCTAGGCCTGGGCGGCAACGGCGCATTTCGTGCTGTGCTCCTCCTTGGAGGTGACGCCTAGGGAGGGTCCAGTGTTCGGGTGAGGTGTGTCAAAGGTCCGAGCTTTGGGCGGCTCTGGTTGTTTGGCGGTGACGGTTCCGTCGGGATCTGCATGGCTAGCATTGTCTCCATTCCCCTCAAGGATGGTGCCCACTGGTTGCGGTGTGTTTGGCTCAAGACTAGCGGTGCGGCGCCTTCGATCCGATGGTAGGGGATAGGGTTCCCCTTCCTAGCAATAGCAACACATTTCCGACTGTAGGCTCCTGGTTCTCTTCTTCAACGGCCGACGGGCCTTGCTTCTCGATGTTCTGCGGTCTTCCTTGATGTCCTTGCCGGCCTTTCTTCAACAGCTATATCTACTGGTGGCTTTCCTGCAGTTTACTGGTGTCCTAAGTTGCAGCGGTATGGTGGATGTTGTGTGCTCAATGTCCAAGGGGTTGTGCTCTGCGGTTGCTCCAGGTCTCGAGGTCGACACCTCTGCTGCTCTAGGTGCTCCTCAGGTCCGTTGGTTCGACGCCTTTCGACCCAAGGCGAGAGGGAAGGGTCCCTCTGCGGCGCAAGAGGAGGAACATGCTTGGATTTCTTCATCCCGGGAGCCAGCCTAGTTCATTCCCACATTTTGTATTAGCAGGTCCTCATCCTGCTCTTGCCGGTCGCTACCCTTGGTACCAGTTCTGCTGTGGTCTTCAGCTAGTGCAAGCAATGGGCTTTGTTTTATTTTCCTTTCGTGCTTGTGCGCTGCATTGAGTTGTAAGCTTCCTAGAGTGCTCCCTTGTATCGTCGGCCCGATATGGTCTGTTGTGTGTCTGTAATTCCTAACCGGTTGATAGCTTTGTTAATTCAAAGCCGGGCTCTCCGCGAGCCTTCGTACTAAAAAAGGTATCAGTGTCTGATTCACCGGTCATGTTATCTAAGCAGCTAAACCAAGTGCTAGGAGCATGTGTGTCTACGCCTGTGATTTCTTATCGTTTTCATTATGAGATGTGGTCTTGCAAGTTTGAAGCGACATAACAAATACTCCCTCCGTAAACTAATATAAGAGCATTTAGATCATTATTTTAGTATTCTAAACATTCTTATAGTTTACGAAGGGAGTACAGTTTACCAGAGTGACACAAAACGTACGTTTTTTTGAAAAGGAGACTGAAATCGCCAACCTCTGCATGGTTACAATGCACGCATCCATTTTTATTAAAGTTGAAACAAAGCAGCTGAAGTTCAAGCGCATAAAACTGGGACTCAAATTAAACCCTTCATCTGATGTCAGTTCATTCTCTTCTGAGACGTACAACTAGCCACCCAACAATTCATCATGAAAGCAAAAGCACAAATAAGTCCTCTTTTTTATATATAATTCAAAGCACAAATAAGTCAGTCACACAGACTACCACTAACCAAACAAACAACCATGACAGCCGGCTCACTATCTAACCCAGTAGACTAGTACGAATGTGAATCAATGACGATAGGGAGTAAATATTAGGCGATGGGAGGTGGCCGCGGCAGGGTCTCCCAGACATCCAGGACATTATCCTCATGATGCACCGCGAAGAGACGGTCGCCCCCAACCGAGAAGTCGGCAATGGCGCCACCGCCTTGGCTCCCTCGCAGCGCCAGCCTCAGGTGGTCATGATTTGGGCCGCCATACACCGAGATGGTGTCATCCTTGGATGCTAAGAGCAGTCCGCTGTGCACGGCGAGCTTCGGATAGCACGTCGGGGCCGTCACCATGCTCTGATGTGTCCGCGGCCAAGGCTGCAGGCCGGAGCTCTCGCAACGGATGTCGAGGAACCCAAGATCATGCTTCTGGCTGATCAAGCGGACCGACCTCTCGTCCTCCATCACAACAGCATCGACAACGCGCCTGTGGTCCTTGCCCCTGGTGTCGCTGCACCATGACCAAACAACGCTCATATCCCGGAAATCCACCAGAGTGATGGAAGACGACGACCAAGAATCTTCCGGTGAGCATGCCTTGATCACCATTAGCGCGTTGGTGCTTGCCAGCCACTGAAGCTTGCTGGCGTTGCCCAGAGCGCAGTCAAGATTCTGGTTCAAAAAGGAGTCTGTATGCTCGCCGGTGATGCAGTCCCAGACACCGATGCCGTAGTAGCCGCTATCCCTGGAATTGCAGCTAGCAAAACCCTTGGTTTGCTGATCAAAGGCCACTAGTGCCCCCGCGTTAAACAGTGGAGACTTCTTCACGCCGGCGTGCGCTAAGCGGAAGTGCTGAGTCAGGTCGCCGGTGAGGGCGGAGAAAGCCGCCAAGCCACCGGCCCCGACGAGGAGCGTGGAGTCGCCGAGGTAGGCTGCGTCGCGGACCGGCTCGGTAGGCGTCAGGCAGATCGGCAAAGGCTCCTCGAGCATCCAATTGTAAACCCGCACGACGGGGCCGTGCGTGACGCAGCACCCTCCGTCCGGGGCCGCGCGGATCACCGGGCGGGCCATCGGCGCCCGACCCGGCGGCACTGACGTGACCAACCTGGCCCTGTCGAGGTCAAACTCGCCGATGCGAGCAGCACGGATGCAGTCGAGGAGGCCGTAGTAGGACGCTTCTCGGAAGAGCATCCGCTCTGGGACGCCAGCCGGGACGTGGAGCTCGCCCGTGCGGAGCATGTTGAGGAGCGAGGCAAAGCAAACCGGGTCGCGGTCGATGAAGTGCTCGGGCACGCCCCCGGTGGCACCGGCATTCCAGCAAGGTTCCAACATGGTGCCGAGCATGGTTCCCTCGCCCGCGCCTGTGAGAGTATCGGCCGTCGTCTCAAACACCTGCCCACCGACGTTCAGCCGGATGCGGCCGGTGGCTGGTTGTGGCGTGCACATTGCCGGCCGTGCGTACAAGACTTCCGCGCGCAGTGGACCTGTCAACGGAGAGGGTTGCCCTGTGGCAGTGTCACTTCTCAATAAAGAGAAAACAATAGGACATTCATACATAAGCTACATCTTGCTAACCAGGGTACAGTTGCTACAGCTTGCAGGTATTGATATTCATACATATATGCATCACAGCTCTATCAATGACAAGAATTTTCAAAAAAACTTGCCAAAAAAATATATGCATTGCGGTGGTAAATAAAATATACTCCCTTCGTCCCATAATATAAGAACGTTTTTGACACTAACAATTGACAACAACGGAGTAGGTATTAGTGACAACTGACAACAACGGACAACAGCTAAATTTAGTGCATCCTATACAAACTTTCAAAGCACACTATACTACATAGAGAGATGGCAACTAAAAATGTCAATTCCTTTGCACTGGGATCATAAAACTATATGGATTTTGAACAGAATCATATACTAGTAATCAGTCTCCAGGGTTGCTGTACTCCAATCTTTTCAAAAGGACAAAAAAAGGGAGCACTTTTTAACCTCAAGAGAAGTGTCAAATACTACTTCCTACTAAACAATGACCATTGCTGCTAGTAGTGAACTCTGCTACTGCTAGGGTTTCGACACCCGTACTGAAAGAAGTGTACAAGCTGCTGCTACCTTTGTCTGGGTCTTCCTTGAGCAATGCAGTGCAGGCTGGGAGGGAAACAGGAGGACGAGGCGGTGAGGCGGATCTGGAAGACGAGGGAGTCGCCGGTCGATGGGGAGCGAGGCGGCGCTGGACGTCGACGGGGTCCGGAGTAGCTGTACGGCGAGGGGGCGGCTGGACGTCGACGGGGAGGCGGGAGGAGCTGGTGGATTGGGGATGGAGGCGGCGCGCTGGAGCGGCTGGACGGCCGGGGGAGGGAGACGTCGGTGGAGGAGTCAAGCTTCAGTCCCCTCGGGCCCTTCAGGGATATCTTTTGGGCCGTCACTGGAAGGTGCCGCGTCGTTTTATTGGCCCAAGCAATGAATATACATACAAACATGGTAGTATTTATTTTCTTCAAACCACTCAAAAAATTATTTCCTTGAAAGAAATATAATTACATGTTATTTCTCTTCTGAGCCCTATTTCTAGGCGCACAATGTTTATTCTCCAATGGAAGAAAAATATGTTCTTCTAAACATAGATTGACATACCTACTAACCACAAATCGAACTCCTTTTATCACTCAACTCGCTCTTCCAAAATCACATGACAGTTACGATTCTCAGTTTTTTCAGACACACTACCTCTTTACCTAAATCTAACATGCTTTATCAATTTAATTTTCTTTTGCAAATGGAATATTTTCATTAATCAACCACAACGCGAGGATGGCGGGCGACAGAGGTGGGGAACGATGGTGCTGGGAGGGGAAAAGAGGGAAGGGAGGCCAGGGCACCGTCCGGGCATCATATAGGGCAAGTGGGAGCTCCGGAGTCCATCGAATCTGAGCTACAACTACTCGGCCTCTCCCGATGCCTTGTTGTACTGATGGTTGAAGAAGAACAGGGCGTGAGCTGCTTGGGCTGCAGGCACTGTGCAGGCTTCCTCCTTTTCCTTTTCTATTTTTATTAAATACAAGGGAAAGGCTCATGTTTATTAATAGGTTTGGTGGTTCAAATGAGTTTCAAATATATTTTTTTAAAGTCTCTCTGGATTACTTCAAAGCCCCAAAAAATATTAAATATTTTTGGAATCATAATAATATTTATTAATGAAATAAATCCCATTTGAATACTATTTGGGGTTGAACTCAATGTGTGTGATAATATTGAGGGTTTGAATCAACCTCATTTCAATGTTAAATGAACATTAGGCATGATGAAATGAGATGTAATTAACAAAAATAAATGCAAAACTAAAATATATTCCTCTTGGGTTGTTAAAGCTAAATGTGGATGGGGTGTTGTGGCTCGGGATAGCTTTGTGGATGTGGTGCAGGCGAGAGCCAGAATATTCAGGACGCCTTCGGTGTTGAGTTGTGTGCAATGGCAAATGCAGTTGACCATGTTGTGGATATAGGAGTTCTTCGAGTTGTCTTTGGAACAGACTCATCATTAATTGTTGAAGCCCCCGACTTTAGATGAGTGGATTAATCACCTTATGCACCTATCGTTGAGGCTGTTATAAGTTTCAGATGAAATTGTGGGTTTCCGTGTAAGGTAGTAGCTTGCAGTCAGGAGCTGAACCATGTAACCCATGAACGAGCAAGAGTAGGGTACAACTGGAATGCGGTTATGAATCAATATTGGGAGTTTTCGTGTACCCGCCCATGTGGCACTCATTGTAGTGGGCGATATGCCTACTAAGTTTTAGTAATAAAGTTTTTGTTTTTTTCTTAAAAAATCAGGGGATCAGGAAACTCAAAGTCATATACAACGACTTTTTAGTGTTTTTTAAAAAACGTAACTTTTGTGCTAATGATTTTTACAAGACCCAAAATACATATATAATGTGAAAACTAACTAAATGGACCCGAATAGCCCCTTTTCTTATTTCACCTTCAGTTTCCTTCTTTTTATCTATCAATTTACTTATTTATATTTTAATTTTTTGAGAATAGATGAATATATCTTATGAGATACATGAAGGCTCATCTCGGAACATGTAGGTTTTTTCCTTGCAGCACATGAACGTGCCTTTTTTTGCCATAGACATGGGGAGCTTTATTGCTTTAGAGAAATCCGGTTACAATCTGCCCTAAGACAACTTACTAGAAAGGATGGGCTCTCCTCGAACCATCACTCTGAGACCAGCAGGGTACCTATGCGCTTCGCACAAAGGTCCACTGAGTTATTAGCATCCCTCGAGACCTGCCTAACCGAGAAATAAATAAAAGTAGACCACTTCTTCGCTATTTCATTTGAGATAGATGTCACAACTGAATGAGACTTGTGCGAAAACACATAGGTTAACAACTTCTAAGCAATCCTGAAAGTGCAATCCCCTCCACAAGTGCTTGGTGTTGATGGCAACGCAATTTGCGGACTAACTATGTGCTTAAACTACATCAGCATATTCGGAAGTGGCACAAGACGGTTAGGTTCTCCTCTAGAAGCAAAAGATAGAAGACGTTGTTTTCGACGCTTGTGAGTCTACAACAAACTGATCTATTAATTTTACATTTGGATCATACAAACTACTAGTTAGAATCAATTACAAATGATACACTTGTTTTTGTACTATCTAGAAGTCTAGAAGTCTAGAATTGCAAAAAGTATGAAGACCACCAATAACTAGCAACTGAAGCCATTTGTTTTAACATCCAACTGTACTGATGAGAACGCAGAGCTACATCTATATATTTTAGGAATGAATCGCTACAAACTTTGACGTTTGATGGGCCTGTTATGCGTGGATATACATTTAAGCTAGTAAAAATTGTAGCTATTTCAATGTAATTTCAAAACAAATATTGTCATTATTTGTTTCATATCAATTGTATATTTAAGAATCGATATATATGTAATGTACTAAGAGAGGGTGACATTGTGACAATACATAGAAAATCATATGAAGTTGGTGCCACATTATAAATGGAGCATGTCTAAGAGAGTGGAGTGACCTAGTATTCATTTTGGTGTTAATGGACAAAACAATAATTTTTTGCAGTAAAATAGATAAAAACAAAATTTCAGAGGAGTATAATGCGTAGTCATGGTATAAATGTTATGCTTTATATATTATCCCTCCCAATACATGATTATCCAACAATGAGAGTGTACCTAATAAATTTCATTTGAAGTAGGTTGGTAAAGTTTTTGGTTTTTATTACCTGACTTTTGATACATACATAGAATATATTTTTGACTGCATACTGTGAGGATCCTCATGGCCTTTTATTAATCATAACTAGAGGTCTCATACAAACAGAATATATAGGAGTATATTGCTTGCATCATACAGATTTAGAAAGCACACTCATGCATCTTCATGTTGATCATTCTTTCTTGATAGATGTTGAAAGCCTTGACGCCGCCTCCCTAATTCGTGCGAAGGACTTGACAAAGTCATCCAAAAGATCAGTGTAATCTGGAAATACTTCCTCGTCGACTGACAGAATTACTTTGAGAGTGTTATTGTAACTCTGGTAGTGCACAACCAATGCCTGCAAAATAAACCTTGTTGATTAAATACAAAATAGGTTTGCCGAATGGTTAATTTTATAGGTTTTGCGGTGCTAAAGTTTTACTTGTATAGCTCCATGGAATTGATCTTACCTTGGTTAGTAGGTTTTATGCCTACCCAAGGTCAAGGCATCTCCTTAACTACGGAGCTATTTAGTGGCAAACTATGCAGATAGATGGTACTTAAAATTGCTTATAAACATGTGTTGGTCTTGTGGTTGAAGTTCATACTCACAAGAGAAGAAGAAGAGGAAATACAACTACACATATACTCTTACTTATCGTCCTTATTCTAAACACTCTATTGGCGAGAGGTGTTAGTACACCTCACCTTGTTTTGAGTACTATTTAACTCGAATATGTTCCTTCTAATTATATGTCGTTTAGTTGGAATTAACCAACTTCTAGCGGGAAAAAGCCAAAGCTCAATCAAACATGTTATTTTGCACTGTTGTGAAGTCACAACCCAAAGCTACTTTTAGTTATAAAGCCCACAACCATCTGTTGAGATACTTTGGTACCTAACCATGGTTTTTCCTAGCAATACTGGTAGGAACTACTAAAAAGTTGCCACCGAAAGCAATAACTATTGAAGAGTTTTCCTTCTCGCTCTCATTCTGCCTCTCAATCTAGGACATATCCTTGTAGGTAAGGCTAGGCCGCACCACCACCCATTTCTTAGACATCGCGTCGTCACCATACTACACTTGGCGCCACCTCCATTCCACCACACTTAGCCACCACTTCATTGCGCTCTAACGCCAACGACGCCACTGCATCAAGCATGGTTGCCACCTCCACCCCTCCACCTTCCTTGGCCTTCTCACGTGGATGTGCTAACCAGGTGAAGATGTACAAGGGCACCTCCTTTCGTGGGGTAGTTGTGCTCTAGCCGTGTCCCCATCACCGGCCTTCCTTGGACTTCCACGAGCAACTTCATAGTAGCTACGGGTTTATGAGAGAGAGGGGGAAGGCAAGATTGACTGTGAAATATTGTATCCATTGTGGGTCAAAATACCAATAAATCGGGTTATTATCTTAGAATCGACGAATTACAATGATCTTGCACACTAGAGACATTTTCGAATTTCCCCGGCTCACAACCACTCCTATAGCCAAGTTTCCAAACAACCAACCTTCATCACAACCACTTCCTTGCCAGAATAGCTTCCCCACAACAACAGAAACCGCTTAGCCATAGCCCAAACAAACAACAGGTGCATGCTTAATTTACTAGTTCCTCCATTTCAACATAATTGAAGTTCTAGCTTTGTCCTAAATCAAACTTCATTAAGTTTGACCAAGTCTAAATAAAAATATATCAACATATACAGCACGAAATTTGCTTCGCAAGATTCATTATGAAATATATTTTCATTTGATACTATAGATCATAGCATTTTTTTTCTATAAACTTGTTCAAACTTAAAAAATGTTTGACTTAGGACAATATTGGAACTACAAATATTTCAGAATGGGGGAAGTATCTCACAACATAGTTCATCAGAACCGCTTCATCGTTTTGGAGATAACTATACCATGAAGTGGTAAATTAAGCATGCACATGTTGTTGTTGATGATTTGCATTCTTATTCTCATTTTTTTTTCTAGTAGACCAGAGTAACTAACCTGCGTGGTTTCGTTAATTTATACTGACTAGAGTGTTTTCAGTTCAGAAGCGACACATGAGCAGTTGAGGACAAATGTCCTTGCATTGTAGGTTCTCTGAGAGATTATTTTGTTGATAAAGGTAAAAAAAAGTTTGCTTAAAATTGAAGGTTTCGGTGTAAGATCCTGGATGTCTTACTTGTGGAATTCCATAAACGCTAGGAGCGAGGAAGTCAACTGGGTGTCCATAAAACTCAATTTGTTCAGTTGGTCCAGCCATGTTTGAGAACGAAATAGTTGTATTGGCGAACATACGTTTGAAGATAAAAGCGCCCGCCTGCTAGGATTGTCAAGTTGAACAATTACAAACATGAACACTTACTAAATAAAAGCAGTGTTAGTTTGTTTAACAAGGTGTGGCTTACTTTTGTAAAATTTAAATTTTGAAAAATGGTACAGTATGCATCAAATATACCTTCAGACCCAGCATTTTGAGAAAAATTTCAGTAATCTTATATGTGAAGATAACTTCAAGTGAGCTCTTTTTCCTGTCCACTGTGTTCATCGCTTTGCAGACATATGCCAGTGGATCATCGTGCATCGCCAAATGAAATGGAAGAAGGATGTAACCTAGTTGATTTCCCCATGCCACGTCATCAACCTTACCAGATTCTATCATATTAACATACGCCTGTACATAGTTATAAGAAAACATTAAACTAAAATAAGGACATGCTACAAGTTGTTGGTGAGAATTAAAACCTCCATTCAGAAATAAGTTAAGTTTCATCAAATGTGTAATCTAACTAGTTATTCCAATATTGACTAGTAATATACACTGAAACTGTTTTGGTTGGCCAGCTAAACATATATAATTCATTAGTTTGTCAAGAAACATATTTCATAAATACCATACTTTGATTCAATAACATATTCGTATGAAAAGTAATGACCAAACCAGCACATATATTGGAGATTGTCCTAAAATGTCATCTAATTACACAAGGATGGAGTAATCATTTGGTACTGAAATATATTGGATGAAAATCAATAATTGATGGCACACGTTTGATGATATTTTTTTACATGTTTCGATAAAAGACTTACTTGTAGGCTAGTGGTTGGCCTTGTATTGACAAAGAGGATAGACCGCAGACATAGTTTGCCTGTCTTGGAGTAACCTAACATAAAATGATGATAATTTACACAAATGTGAATATAGTAATTAAAACAGATCGAACCATGGTAGAAATTGTACACCCCTCGTTGCCATACATAGAGCACTTACCAGACTTGCGAAAGTAGTATTGTGACAGAGCAGCAGACGTCGCTCCGACCAGCACATCATTGACGGTCTCCGGAAACCAAAATAATAACAAAAGTGAGTACAAAGACAAAATTGCAAAATTAAGAGAATGACTATATCTACACGGCTGGAGCATACAACTAGAAAGGTTTCCTCCCGCCGTGGATGGTGGTGTAATCTCCGGATAGAATCTCTGTTCGCCGTTCGTCGCCGTCGCCGGAGTCAAGCTGAAACGTCGCCGCTGGTGCATTGAGCGATTTGACGGAAACCGCCTCGGATCTTTTTCCTCGTTGGCTACCCGGCATCTCACATGCTTATGCACTTCTGTCGGTCATTCCCGCGCCTCACTGCCCGCTAGTTTGGACTCAACATCGTCGACGGCTAGTACACCTTCATCGCCTTGCAAGTGTTTGAC